GGCCAGTCCATCGGTCTTACTAAATGTCAAGATTGCCAGCTTGGCAAGACGAACCACTGCGAGCTTGTGAGCTAGGGTATATTGCTGTGTAACGGGTGGAGAGAGGAGAAGACAAGGAAAGACAAGGAAAGCATTCTGAGGAGACACGATCTTATCAGCCATCACCGAAGTGAGATCTGTGTTGACCACCCTTCATGATGCCATACATGGACAGAAACAACTTTGACTGACTGGCCAGTCCATCGGTCTTATTAAAGTAAAAGCACTCTTACTCTGGGACTTACCGCCCAGCAGATCCTCTATTCAGCTAACTACAGGAAAGGTCCTCACCGGCCTTTTTCGCACATGGGCGCAGCAACTTGGTTCTTGCTTATCTGAGCCGAAGTCTTCGCCAGCTAACTGACAGATCCTAACAGGTCTATCAGTGTCTTGCGCAGTATCAGCAGCAGTCAACTACTAGCAGTACTTGAAGAAAGACAACAACAACATCAACAAAGCAGACAGCAGAGATGACACTCAATCTCGAGACCAAGGCCACCTTCCCCGTCTTTACCGGCAGGAGTGGCGAGAACGACATCAAGTGGCGTGAATGGGACTTTACTCTCAGAGCCTACTTGGCAGCAAGAGAGATGGATGTGAAAGTCTATCTACCTACTAAGGATGAGGACGTCCCGCCGATGAAGATAGCGGTGCCACAGATGGATGGCAATAATCAGCCCGTGGTGAACCAGCAGGGACAGCCAATCCTGATTGAGCAGGAGAGCTCCAACGCCAAGAACCTCCGATGGCTGTTCGGCTTCCTCGCCCTGCAGACAGCAGACAAGGCCAAGCGACTGATTCAAGAAGCATACCAGAAGCACGGCGAGAATGGTGCATGGGCGTATCTAGAACTGCGGAAGCGGTTCATACCTGATCGTATCGTATGCAAGCACGAGCTCTTGCAGCGATTCTTCAGCTAGAAGATGATCAAGGACGATCTTGACGACGCCCTTGGCGACTTCAGCTTTCTCGTCAAGCGCCTTCATGAAGTCGGATCAACAGTGCCAGACGAGACGATGATCGCCGTCATGCTATCGGCATTGCCTGAGAGATTCGACATGTTCAAGGCAACCATGGCGCATGAGTCAGCATCCCGCGCGTATCGTGGAGAAGCACTGACGTGGCCGCAATTTGAAGAAGCTCTTCGTAACGCGAACGACCGCATGAAACAGCTGCGAAGAGAGCAACGAGACCGTCAACATCAGCAGAGAGGCCGTCCATCCGGAAGACAACATGACCGCCAAGACCAGCGTAGTCAGCATGATGATGAGAGGAAGGGATGGACTGACAGACGACCTGACAACAGATACAACAACACCAACAGGAACAATGGCAATGGATGGAGGAACCAGCCGAGCAACACCAACAGACAGAGCAGCAACTACTGGCGACCTGCCTCATCCACTTATGCCCAATCCTCTCAGCGCACCTGGCACACTGGCGGACAGCAGCAGGGAGGAGGGCAGCAGCAGCAAACATGGCGCCCTACAGAACGACGAGATAAGGATGGCGACGTCATTATGAAGAACACCCGAGCACGAGCCAACGACAGACGGAACGACCGACGTCCCAATCGCCAATACGCCAACCAATTCGATGTCTACGAAGAGGAACAACAACAGCAACAAGGAAATGAGGACTTTGTTACGATTGGAGCAGTCGAGATAGAAGAACTGGCTGATGAGGTGGTGCACGTGAATGGTGTGTGTTCATCCTCACCTACGGCAATGATGATGGACACTAGAGCAGCGCGATCATGCTGTTTTGAGGAGCAGCTCTTTGACGAAATCAAGCCACTTGATCATGACATCAACGTCATCATGGCGAATAGATCAACCGCACCAGCGATGGGTGTCGGCTGCATCAAGTTTACCTATGGAGAGATCAACAAAGGCAAGAAGAAGATCATAGTGGACAACGTGCTGTATGTGCCCAAGCTCAAGTTCAACCTGCTTTCTCTTGCTCACCTTATCGACGATTACAACGTCAAGCTCGAGATTGATCATGGCGCTGCGTTCCTGAAGGCAAGGAGAGGAGATATGTACCCATTGATGCGTGAAGGGCGATTCTGGTACCTCAACATCTACAAGGACCCGTCCGACTGTCCGAATGCGACCGATGAGCGAGTGGTTGACGTCATGGAGCAGCCGCACACACCATCGGTGGACGATGACAATGAAGAACCGACGGATGTGATGACAACAGACGTATTAGTCGCGGAAGTCGTCACACAAGAGCGATTGCATCAGCGATTTGCCCACGTCAACGATGGATACCTCAAGAAACTACCTGAAGTGACAAGACACGCACCAACGGCAAAGAAGGAGAACAACAGTGACGACGAGAAGGCCAAGTGTGAAGTGTGTTTGAAGGCCAAGATGAAGCGACTGCCGTATGCAGGAGATGCGTATCGACACCAACACCCT